TAATTCAAATGATCGATTTTTTTTTTTTAACAATTAGCCTTAAAACAGACACATATAAAAAAGAGAAAGAATTGGGGTTTGTCTTAAGATGTATTAAAACTTATAAAAAAGTAATAAAAATGCTATACTAGTATATTGATAGTCATAATACATATTTATATTCTATATTTATATTATTTATTATTATGTGTTTTATTATATTTATATAATATACATATATGCATTTTTACTATAATCGGTTGGTTATACTATATACTGTTATGAATAAACAGCAATGGAAAGATAAATCAACAGCACAAGATAGTGTCCGGAATGAAAATCCAGATTTATATGGAAACCTATTATTTGATGAAGCTGACATTACAAGTTGGTGGGGAGGTTGAGCAAACTGCTTGCATCACTTGCCATTACTCCCTGCTCGGGAGGATTAAAGGGTCCCAGCGGGAAGGAGAGTTAAAGGATTTCCCAGTGGAAATCCGGGGCAGGTGGTAGCCTGGAAGCCCAGTCCTAGAGCTAAAAGTGGTGCGTTCCTAACAAGTCTCCAGGTGACATTGATGCTGCTGACCTGGACCACATCTGGAACACCACCGGCCCAGCAGACTGCCTTGGAGTGGAACACATCCCTACGCTTTCTGCTTAACCTATAAATCCCGCAGGGAGGTGAGGGGGTAGGGGGCAGAAGGAGAGCTGTGCTGGGTGGTTTGGGGCTGGGGGGGATTGCCTGGAATTGTCCTCAATGTTGAAGGCTTCACGCTCTAAGCCCAGCGACTGCCTCGAGAATGTATCTGGAGGACTCAGGCTGGGCCCGGAATGCACATCTGGGAGGCTCCGATATTCTCATTCAACCGAGAGATCCTGGATTTTTTTCTCGACCACCTATGGCATCAAATGCCATCATCTGTGACACAGCTTACAAAGGACTTTCTTCTCTTGATATAATTGGGGTTTTCAAATTCAGTTACGTTCCTGTTCCTCTATTAGGTAACAGGTTAAGAAAATTTGCGAGGCTGATTCATTTTACTGTTTTCTTCATATTTTAGAAAGATTACGTCCAAGTCTCAACTGGCTTTCCCAGCTCCCCAGATAAAATGGTCCTCATCGTTCAGCGCATGTTACCACTTTCCAATTTCCTTAGCTTTCCAAGGTGCTCCTTTCTGACCACAGAGTTCAAATGCATTCATCCATTTCGCGCCTTCTGCCCTAATGAAAACAGGATCCTCCCTTGGTTTGAGAAGCCTCAGCTGCCCTGCAGAGATGGCTGCTTAGCAGAGGTTGCAGGAAGCATCCCCAATTCACCCAGTTCTTTCATTTCTTTATCTGAATGAGGGGTCTTCCCCAAATCTAGGCCACTCCGTGGTATTCCTAAGGGAATTCCTCGTGAATATTTTAAAACTTGAAGGGAGAAGTTAGTGAGATGCCAGGAACTGGAAAGTAAAAGTCATTCCTTTTGTTGGACTGTCTCTGGGTTACCTTAGGTATTACAATCAGCCACAGTTACCACAATGTCTTAGAACATGTAAAATTGAAATGACCACTCTTGGTAAAACACTTCCTATCATCTTCCGAATGAACGTCTTGGTGCTGTGTGTGACTACGTTGAAAACTGCTCTGTGCTTGTGAATCACTCCGCCTGCCTCCATTTCCGCAGACTGTCAGCCACGCTCTTCAAAACCACATCCCATGATAACGTCGACGAGGTGACAAAGAAGAAAGAGGAAATTTGCCGACAGAAAATTAAGACGGAGCTAACAGACTCAATCTCCTTTCTCTCCCGTAAATTAGAAATTGTTTCTCTTTGGTTCCTCTCTAGTCTCCCTATCCACCTTCCTCTCAAGTTTCAGGACATCAGTAGTGGAGGAAAATACAGATTCTTCTGTATGACAAAGGACCAGTGAGGAATGTTTTTAATGGGAAATTAAACAAGGAGCCATGAGGTCCCAGCTGAGACCTGACTCCTGAAGAGTTCAGAGCAGTTCCTTCCCCAGAGCGGGGGTTCAATAAATACTCGTGATGTGAGTAGGTGCTGCCCTGCCTTCTGCCCAGGCACTCGGGACCCGTTCAGCATATGCCCTGAGAATATTTCATTTCCACACAGCTCCCTGCGGAGGGGTGTGTGATGATGGGGACCGCGGGCAGAGAAGGAGGGCTGCTCTCAGGCCCACCTAGAGTAGCTCCTTGAGACCACGCTGTTCTAACCTAATCAGCTTTCATAAATCAGCTTGCTCCACTTTTCTTTGCTTTACTATCTTTGATGTGGCTTGTTAATAAAGTTTTGTAGCTTTAATTTCTTAATAATTGGCCCCGGGGCATAAGTTGTAAATCAGTCTACTCCAACCTGCTCTTTCACAGTAAATCTCAATCCTCGGCTTGCTGAGTCTCCCATCTGAGCCTTTTGAAGGTGTGTCTTCTCACTTATTACAGAAATAACGGACCCCACTTTCTAAGAGGCAACGACTCTTTTGCTCTCCAGGTAGAATTTTCCCCCAAATCTTTTACTCCTCCTTGGATTTCTTATTCACTGCTTTTAGTTTCTAACCCTTTATTTCTCCATTAGCTTTATGGATTTGTTTCTCCTCAGCTTTTCTAACATATTCTGTTTGCTTGTGCAAATCTCATACTGATACTGAAAACCTTATTAATCCTATCCTTTCTGGTCAGCTGATGATCTTTTTGGCATGCTCATCCTCACTCACCACTCTCTTGAGGCATCAGTTTCTATGTCCAGGCCGTTGCAGGGCTCCTGACAGTCCCTGCTCCAGAAACGAGAGCCTCTGTAACAGCCATCAGTGTCCTTCCAGCCCTTTAATATTCTTTCAAAACCACCATCTCATCCGCGAGGCTTTTGTTGAACAGAATCTCTTTCTTTCTCTGTCTCTGTCTCTCTTGCCAGGGTAGCTGCTGGTACAGGTGAGGATGCTCCTAATATGACCCTGTGTCCCCTCCCTCACTAGGCATATGAGATTGTGAGGTCTTTGGGCAGAAATCTTAGTTTCATCTGTGGCTGTCTAGGTCTTTGCTAGACTGGTCATATTTTTTAAGTCTTCGAAGACTTAATAGAAATGTATATCATACATCCTGTTGGGTGTTTCGAGAATTTTTTTTAGAAAGACACAAATGGGATTATATGCTACGATTTTTCTCACACCAAACCAATTTTTTTCTCAGTCACATTTAACATTGGATTCTTCAGTGATGGCAGATACCTAGTAACTCAGTTCATTGCAATGTGGAGAAGAAATGGCCCTAACGTCTCTTTGTGCCAACATTTTCTGTGAGTCTCATCGAGTGATTTTCCTGACACTGGCAACATGTGTCTCCTGAATGGCTGGATTGCTCTAGAAGCAAGACCGTGACTTCCGGGTACTGGAAGCAGGGGTGACAGCGAAGCGAGGGAAGAGCGAGGCTTGAAGGCTGACCCATCTCGAATGAGGGCGCAGGCCACCCTCCAACTCCAATCTCCGTCACTTCTCACAGCCTTTCCGGGAGCATGATAATAAGAAACCTGTGATTTACGGGTTTGTGTGGCTGTCTAGGTCTTTGCTAGACTGGTCATATTATCTGGGGAAAGAAATCATCTCATGGCTTCAATGCTTACACTCAGTGAGGACATTTTTAAGTCCTTGAAGACTTAATAGAAATGTATATCATACATCCTGTTGGGTGTATGTTCTTTAGAAAAGAACACAACTGCAATCTGTTCCTGGAGTGGGATTCCAGGGGAAACAGGAGAAGAATCACCTGATGGTATAAAGCAAAACGAGTCTGACAGCAATGCCACAGGAGGGAAGTTCATTGGAAGGAAGGCTTAAATGCAGCCCAACAGCGATCAGGAAAGTCTTTGGAGAGGAGGCGGCTCGAGAGCGGAGTCTTGTGAGGGAGGAGAGGAGTGGTAAGAACGAAAAGATGGAGCTGAGCAGGTACATGGTGGAGCTTTTCAGCAGTTAGCAGATCTAAAATCACTTTAGACGTCTGTTTCAAGTGCAAGTTCCCAGGTCATACCACACAGAGATTAAATCAGAAGGTCCCCAGTGAACCCAGGGACTGGAAAGCCTCAGGACCCCTAGCTGAGAAGGTGCTCAGGCTGCGACACTATGGAAACCATGGAAGGCATTTTCTGGTAACTGTGAGCACCCATTTGGCTTAAATTCTCAATTTAGAGGAGGACTTGTAACTTAAAGACCTACAGGAGTCAGGGTGGTACAGGCGGTGAGAGAGGTTATTAGGTTATAAGCGCAAATATAAAAGCTGTCTCTTCCTCCAGTTCAAAGAACAGCAGCCACATCACACTCCAGAAATTATCTTCAGTCAGGGCTCAGGATACCAGAGCTTTCCATTTTCAAGAGAAGCCCGAAACCTGGATTTTACGTAAATCCTCCCCCTTCCAATGATTAAATCATGGATTAAAATGCCATGTGCACCAAACAATTCTATGAAGGCCACTGGCTGGCAAGATCTAAGGGGAAGAATCATCTCTTATTATATGTAGACTTGAATGATAGATTAAAGTCGTGTTTCTTCTGGAAGACAATGGAAAACAATAGAAGGTTTTGGAGGAAAGAAGGGAGCTGAACAAGAGACTGCTTTAAGAAAATTCACATGACTGTTGTGCATCCTTGGGATGAAGTGGAGGAGGGGTCTCGGCCAGGAGATCACAGGATGTTCTTCTAGTCGTGCAGAGGGAACAGGAAAGAAAGAAGAGTATGAAAGATGCTGGGAAATGAGAATTGAGGAGATATGATTGGCTGTGGAAGGGAGAGAGAAAGAGAGAAGTCATCCAGAATTCTCTAGAATTCTCTAGAATTCTAAATATGCACTACTTCTAATCGCTCTTTCTTTAATATATGCTTATGTTTTGATTTCATTCATTCAGCAAAAAAGAGAATTTAGATTGCATTCTGATGAGTACCTGGTTAATAGAGATGAATAGAGATAGAAATGACTTAATAGAAATGACTTAACAGTCATTTCTTTAGCGGAGAAAAAAAAAAGCACAGACAAAATATTTTATAGTATCTATAATAAATGCAAAGAAATCAATACAAACAAAACTTGGCTTTAGCAAACTGTACATACATAAATATCTTTTTTTTACTATAACATTCAACTTATTTTTTCACATAAAGCCTTCCGTGATCTTATTTATTACATCCAGTTTTTTGTTATACTTTTTAAAAAAGTGCCTTTTAGATTTACAGCTTATGCTTCTAAAGCAAAAGTTAAACCATCATGCCCAAAAGGAAAACCAGGTAAAAAGGAAGCTGTTATATAGCTCTTAAAAACTGTATGTTACAAGGTTCTAAAATCTCTTCAGCGCTGGTTGGCTGGAAGATTGTTTGACACTAACATGGCGCCTCGGAGTGTCATTTATGAATGGATGGGGCGGCACCGTGGGAACTCTGCCCAGACGGTGTGCTGCAGTCCCTGGGCGTGCACAGGATGGGCCAGAGGCCCAGAATTCCCCCATCTGGGGAACGTCAGAGGTCCTTCATCTCTTTAGTACTGAGGCTCAGTGTTTCAAACAATATTTCTCCCAAACCTTCTGTCTTCTGTTTGTTCTCCTCCTGTCATTGTTTATCACCCATCTCTGAAATCATAACACACACACACGGGATCTGGAGAGCTAAAGCTGCCACACCGATGGCATTCGCCAAGATGCAGGTCCTCTTTTCTGCTACTTTGGGATTGCTTTTGGCCAAATCCTCCATTACGCTGCCAGCACTGCTGCAGATAGCATCCGCTTGGTTCAGAGGGGAGGAGGGCCATTTGTGTATCTGAGCATGGGGTGGAATGACCGGGCGAAATTGTTGGAGAGGGCACAGCTGTAGTCTTCCTCCGACATTGGTACAAGGCAGGCAAGCCCGATGAGGAGCAGCAGGAGAAGCTGGAGGGGAAGAGCCGCTCGGAGCACTCTGAACAGGAAACCTCGGCTGGACTGAGCGGGCTGAGGCTCAGAAAGGGAGGAATCGGAGCCACCTTTTATGGACCTGAGAGAACAATGGACATAACTCAAATATCTCGAATGTTGGAAGGATGCTGCTCTTACCTCCCTCACCTTCCTGGAAGCTAAAGGCCCATGCCAAACACAACCAGACCTGGCGATTAGCTGCCAGCCCTCCACAGTGGGCCCAGGTCCTCTCCCCACCACCAAATGAAGAATTGTTTAGAAACTGTTCTGTTAAAAAATTAACATTTAGTCGGTCAACTAAAGGTAACCAATCGGGTTCAAATTCTACCCCTTCATTTGGTAAAATATTTTTCGCCAACAAAGATAATTGCTCTACACACATTCTACCAGCATGAATGAAGTCGGTCAAGGATAATTAAGACATGACTGTTTGATGAAGTACATTTTTGGTTTAAGGCTACCAGCAATACCATTAGGCCAAATTCGTTGCTGTCAGAATCATATGAAGTATCCAATGTAGTCATCCTGGATGTGCCACAATCCATGCGGCAAGGATAAGGACAACCCCAGTCCTTTTGCACAGACCCATAAACTTTAATTGACCTTAGAGTACATCCTGGTTTCATCTTGCACTGGATCAGCACCTGGCCCTCCCTGACGTTAGTGGGTTCCGAAGCTGTATGAATAAGGCAGGCAGTGAGGTTAGTGTACAGAACACCAGTGTTGAATGACACAATTTCTAGGCTGATCCTATCTTTCATTAGTGCTGTGACTTTGGGATATGGACGTAATTTTTATGAGGAGGACAGACTGTCATCTTGTAGGCTCCTTCTACTCAAAGTTCCAACTTTTCCTATCTATGTTTATCTTCCTATTTACTAAATTGTACATTAGAGATTAAGCGTGAATTCCAGATTTCATAAGACTACTTGTGAAATATTGACTATAGAAGTCGGTTCTAGGTGGGGTGCCACCGTTTTCCATTTGTGAGCATCCTTTAATGTTTTGTTTGGTTACTAGTGGAAATGATGAAGAAATGTCATTTACAAGAGGCGTTTTGTACACACACACACCCACATACACACAATATCACAGGAGCAGAAAGAATAGGTGTACCAATGAGACACATTTCCCCACACTTCGTACAAATTTCCTATAGGTAGTATTATCACTAGGCATAAGGGTGTTGAATGTGAGGCCATTAGATAAATATTAAAGTGTGAAAACTGTATTGGTTACTCTATGTTTTTCTCATAAGAAAACACTAAGTTTTCAGCTGGACTATTCAAACCATCAAAGAAATATGGGAGACAAACAGACTGGTCCTCTGGAAACCTCAAGCATCCATGTACCACGCACACTGTGTTTCTAACACAGTTCTTGTAGTGTAATGAAAAAACAAATCACTGGCCTAATTTGGGACTACGTTTCTTTTCCGAAGGCTACAACTAATGGCTGTGTAACCTTCAACAACTCACTGTACCTGTAAGTGCCAATGTCTTCCTCAACCCTTTCTGATTAGACTAGATGGTCTTCCAACTTGTAAGGTCCATGTTCTATACATTTCATGTCTTCTAGTAATTAGTGTGAATAGTCTACCAACTGAGAGGTCACAAGAGTTCAATCTCCATCTAGTGGTCAAACTGATACTGCCCTCATGCTCACCTACAAATTACTCCTAATGAGCTGAATAGGAAAAGTTGTCTATTTTGTGAAATACAGCAAGCATAAAAGAAGCATGTCACATACTTATTAATGGAAGGGAGGGTAAAATAGAAACTCCTTGAGTTATCTATTTATGAACTATTGATGTTGAGAGAAAGCCTTAGAGAATATATAACCCTTCTCCTAATTTTGTAGATAAGTTAACATTTATTCTTCTAATTACTAGGCAACACACTAAGCCTAGTTAGTATCTTGGGTTCTCTCATGCAATCCATACACTATCTTCAGTGTGCTTGTTATCTTCATTCTGTAGATGGTGAAAACAAGGCTCAGAGAGGTAAAGCAACAAGCTCGAGGTTATACAGCTTGCAAGTGGTAGAATTAAGATTTTAACCTTGAGATTTTGACTCACAGAATTTGGAATCTCTAGAGAGGGTAAATGACTTGCCTCAAATCCCGCAATTACAGGAAAAGATCTAGCGGGCACTTGGTTCCAAAGTGCCTGCCAAGTACACTCTCTGCAACGTTTGTTTGTTTGTTTGGTGACATGAATGAAGATTACCCAGGTCATATTATGTCACAGGTTTCTCACATGTAGAAGAAAAGACAATATTTGTATACTAAAAACTTTGGAAGTGAGTGGCTTCCTCACGTCAAAAATAAATGCCCCTAATCTCAAGGCTTCATGATGTTACACAAATCATCAAGTACGGTACATGGACAACAGGGCATTTTGTTTTGAGACAGCTGCACAATCTTGGGCCAGTGATCTAGTCTCTCTGGTCTGGCCTTCAGGTTTCTCATTTACAAAGAAGAAGCATACATTAATCTCTTAAAACCATTTTGGCTTTGACAGTTTATGAATTCAATGGTTTGTCTTAAAAAGTGTCTCAAAAAAGATGAGCTAGTTGCCCAAGAATCCTAGATGGAATTTTCCTTCCAAATCTCTTTCTCTTTCCCTTACAATATGCCCTGGCAAACAACACGCACCATCTATCTCTGGGTAACAGAAGAAATAGAGCTCCATGTTTCCTCACTACTCTGACTTCTTTTCTTTGGGAAACATTAAAGGATATTAGTGATGGGTAGATTTATGCATATAATTGATAATCCAATCTGACTGACAGCACTGAATAGCTTGTCAATCATTAGCTTCTTTGAGCAATTAAGCCAAAGATCAAGATCAAAATAAAGGGTACCCCTTGGCTAGTCCACTTCTGAGGACAACAGGAAAAGTCATCATCTTTGGAATATGGGCTCATATGTTATAGAGTCTGTTGAAGGACATGGCACATTTAACAGCATCAGAGCATTTTTTATTAAAATTTAATTAGCACATGCCTTCTAAAATTGAAGAATGCCTACCTAAGGAGAAGTAATGGGCTGAAATAGGGACAAAGGGAACACAAAGTGCTCAGTGAGCTGCCATGCAGTTGACTGCTCTTGGAAACTCCCAGTTTATCTACTGAGAAAAATGCCAGCCCCATGGGATAAGTAACCAGGGACTCAACATGCCCGAAGTTTTAGAGCTTCTAATGACAACAGGTTAATAATACCAGGGTAAAGGGGCACTTTTAATATTTATCTATTGACCTAAAATCACCTCAGTTTCAAGTCTTGGGAAACTGGACAAGGGAAAGAACAAAGATAACTGACTAGTCACTCATCGCATGCCAATGGCTTCGTTACATAAATAGATGCCAATCGAGATTGTTTTTATAAAGGAAAAATTAAATGTATGAATGTATTCAAGGAATTTAATCAATGGAGATATTTCAGATAATTCTGCCTAATGAAAATGGGCTTATTCTCGTAAGTAAATAATAATTTTATTACTTTTCTCACTCCTCTTACTCATCCAAATTTCTGGGTAAATAACTGCCCCAGGAGTTGTTTCATCTCTTTCCCAAAATACATATTATTGTGTAAAAAGCAGGATAGTAGTGGAGGGAGCAGAACAGAACAACACACCACACGAAACAAAGTTTGACCGAGATGCGAGCAGCCTGAATTGTGTGCACAGACAGCACGACTCACCGCAAAAATTTTACGAAATGAAGGAAAATAAAATGGGTTAATTCTTTGCATACATCATTCAAACACAAATGAAAAGAAAGGTGCAATTCATTTTGTTACTTGTTAGCTATCCCTGGCAGTAAAGTGACAGGAATTTATCAGGAGGGAATATCTAGATCATCTATGACCTTGTTGCCAAGTCTTGTGTGAGTGGTCTTTGCTTGCTGGATATGTGGTTCAGAGGACAAATTTCCAGAATCAGATTGGGATTTCAGTTTCCTCTCATTCTGAAATGAACATCTTGGCTGGTCCTAAGCTACCTCAGGCAGCCTGTGGTATCAAGCCCTGGAACTACTGTTTAAAGCATTCCA